AAATCGTGCCATTTTTTTAAATTACTTCTATATTTCAAATCGTACCTTAAAATCATGACAGCCATATCAGAATTTTTGTGAAAATCAAGAATTATATCTTCTGCCATTTTCTTAGCCTTTCCGTACGGATTTATGGGAAGCTGCAGTGTGGAAGGCAAAATTCATCATAAGAAATAATTGGAATTTACCAGCACTTATGTTGTAAAATGTATTTTGAGCATATTTAACAATTACTACACTGTAATGTAACTTATAGCGCAACTAATAATCTCACCTGTGGAGTTTCTTCTGTAATGGGCATTTTTTCAGGTTCACCGTAAGTTGCGCACGTGCTTGAATAAATTAAAGTTTTCACACCGTGAGCTGCCATAGCTTCCAGCACGACAAGAGTGTTTGAAGTGATATTGTGATAGTATCTATAGTACAAACAAAAAATAAAATAAAATAAATAAATAACGCGCTTATTAGTGTGTATAGAATGAAAATCTTCTATATTGAACTCAGCTTTACACATCGCGTCCGAAAATTTTCTCTAGTTCAAACTAAACTTAAAATCAAAGACCTAAAATTAGTTTAAAGTTACTCACTTGAGAGGATCGAGTGTACTCTCCCCAACATAAGCTACTGCAGCAAAATGCATAACCGCATCGAAAGCATTTTCCGAAAAGATTCTGTTCACCTGTATACATTCGACAAAACAAAAGACGAGCTTTTTTATACATAATAGAAATAAAAAAGAAAAATTAATAAAAAAAATGAATTAAGAATAACCATACAGCTTTTGCATCACCAAGATCGGCATAGATAAACTGAAGTCTTCCAGGTTCAGGAAAAAGATTTTGTAGAACACTAATGGCACCGAGATTTCCACGTGAGAGATTATCCTATGATACGAAAAAATATACAATTCTTTCTTCAAGTTCTGAAAGTTAATCACAGCAAGAAAAAAAAAATACAGAATATGACTAAGATAAATTTACCACTATCGTCACACGATAGGAATCCTTCAGAAGCCGTAATGCAGCATGTGAACCAATATATCCGGCACCTCCTGTTACTAAGACATGAGTCACACCCGGTTCAGGACTCGAGAACTGTAATAAAAAAGATCATAGGTAAATATTTAGGAGATGAATAAAAATTAACTTTAATAACATATTAGGAAAATCAAATTTACTTGGCTGGGGGTGTTGAAATTTGGGGATTTTTTGAGCATAAGAATGCATAAAGCGGTAAGAGCCGAAACCATCATGATTTTTCCGAGCAAATTGTTCTTCTTCTTGGGATCTGAGTAATCCATGCCTGAACAAACAGCAAAGGCAATACAAAAATTGGAGTCGACAGAAGAAAACAAAAAAGCACCAAAATTACAACCCAGTGAAGAAGGTAAAGTAAAAACCCCACCGCCTAAAGACATGGATCTATTGGACCTCTGCTGAGTTCTTGTTCTGGTGAAACTCAGCATTTGAGAAATCCCTTCTCTTATTCTAACAATGTAGATAGGAAAAAGTAAAAAACAAAATAAAAATCAAATCATTAGCATCAAATTTCAAACTGGTACGCAAAGGCGCCGTGGATTGGGGCTTCCTCAAATCTGCTACCATGAAAAATCGAAATTTAAACTGTGATCAGTGAATAATCAATATAGATCCTTAATCAAATAACTCTATTTAAAGGATTGTAAAAGTTTCAACTGAGAAGGAAAACTAAAGCTGGGCCCTGTTGAAATAGATGAGAAAATAACACATAAGATAGGGAAAATAACTTAACCAAAATAATGGGGGAAAAAGCACTTAACCAAGGGCAAATTTTCAAACAATTATAATAACAAAACCAAACAAGCATTTTTATTCAATCCCTGGAAGAAAATTAAAATGAATTAAACAAAACTATCAAGATCCAGTTTACACCACTGAAAAATTCAACCCCAATTGCTCCTAAGTAAGAAAGATCAGATTTTTTTCACCCAAATCAAGTAAATTGTTCTTCAATTAGACAAACTTGACCTAAATTAGCATAAGAACAGGCGAGATTATAATTCTTTTTAAATAAAAAAAACTAAAAAATAAAAACGATTCGCCAATACTGAAGAACCAAAATCACACTCTAATCTTTCAGCTAAACAGTGATCACAGAAACAATATTTTTTTATTCCTTTTCATCCTCAAATTTCGTAGTGATTTTATGCCCGTATGCGAACGTTGGCAAGATCTCTATACGACCAATGGGAAAAAAGGAAAAGAAAAGTTCCCTGCCGTATGATAAATCGACCAAAAAAAAAAAGCGAGAACCCACATACATCCTCAAACATATTCAATCACAAAAACAACAAAAAGAGATAACAGGAAAAACAAAAACTAAAATTTGTATACAAACAAATAAAAATCGGCAGCAAAAGATCGAATTTTGACACGAACCCTCTACATTAAAAGGGAATTAATACAGCAATAACGAAGAAGGGCAGAGAGAGAGAGCATACAGGAAAGAGGGGAGATAGCAGGTGGCACTGTGTGTTTCTGCCTGGGCGTACGTTCTGAAAGTGCTGGCAACAAAAAAGGGAAAAGGGAACCTTATTATTATAAGGATCGATTTAAATTAACAGCATAGGAATTAATTAAATTAATTAAAGAAAGGGAGTTTCTAATAATGTTTTATTTAACTATAAATTTGGAATAGAATAGATGGGGACGCGGGGAGAACTTTAGAAAATTCAAAACTCAATTTTATTTTTTCCCGTGATTTGTTGCGGAGAGAGTTGAAGACCCACAAGGACTATGAGTGGCGAAAAGTGCTACAAGAAACACTATCTAATTTGTGAAAAATTCCATAATTTTTATTTTTATTTTTTTTTAGTGAAANTAAGAGCGATAAAAAATTATTGTATGAGGTTGTATAATATATAGACATATCGATTCATCATTTTCTTAAATGAATATGTATCATTATATTTTGAAATATCTTACTTTTATTTATATGTTATTTTGTATAGTATAACATTTTAATTTAAAAATATAAATATATGTTGAAAGATATGGTTGTCTAACTATTAAGTTTGTCTAACATCAATCTTATTGTTTAAAGTACGTAGAATTATAATTTTTTTTATGTAAAATGTATCCGGTTTAATTATATCTAAAAACTCATATTTGAAAGAAAAAAAAGTATGTATACCGGCAAAGAGATTATGCCAACCTACCAATTTATTTTCACTTTTTCCTTTCACCTTTTTAGGACTCTCATTCATGGTAGGTCTTTGATTTATAAACCTTGGGGACATACAATTAATCTGCAAATTGAAATAAATCAACAATTATGTGATACTACACATAATTATATTTGGATTAACCATTACCTCATACTTTCATATCAAAACATAATTATACTATGAAATGTCATATTTTAGAGTTTGTCATTTAAATTTAAAAAGTATGGTTGTCTTATTATTAAGCTTGCCTACACCTACCTTACTATTATGTTTATTGTTGATTAGCTAACTACATTTGTGGAAATTTCTCTAAATGTGCACAAGATTAATTTGGTGTCATTGATGTGATATTTGGAATAAGATGTACAACTTGTAAAAGTTATCATACTTTATTATAGACTGGTAAATGTAACATTCACTCCCACATATTGTAGTTTAGTCATTTCATATGGATATTTCCTTAATTACATTTCATATGCATAAGCATCAAATTATTACTAAAAGATATGTTAATTTAATTTAACCAGAAGACCTATCTAAAATAGTATCTTCTTTTCACATGTTGTTTTATATTTTAATCAGTTTACATTTTAATCATTTTACATTATCTCAATTCTAATTTTACACCCCCCCAATGTTTTATTTGTCTTTCTAGTTTATATTTGTCCAATTTCCACACTTGACGTGGAGTTCTTGTCCAACTTCAAAGGACATTAATTGAAATATAAATTGAATTGTGAGAGGATTAACCATGAATTGAACTTTAAGAGATATAACCTTCTTGATTGTGAAATGTCTTAATGTTGTATATATGTTTTAATATGCACAAGCACATCCAATTATAAAATATTTTGATTTGTTGAAAAATAAGTATATCTTTATTATAAATGACTCGCCAATTAGCCACCTTTTTACATGTTAATTCATCTTTTATGCAATTTCGGACTACTTATTGTGGTTCATTAAACCGATGTTGTGACGCGAATCCAATGTGGTAAAGTTCACCCTGACCAATCACACATTAGCATTGATGTACAAATTGTCTCTGAATCGAAGTCTAATCCGAAGTTTAATCGGTGATGTTGTAAAGCGCCTCTTGCCCAAGCTCCAATTACCTGAAAAGTACGGCGGGAGAAAAACCTCCAACCCTGCAAAATACGCCAGAAGAAAACCTCCAACCCTCAAGCTAGAGATGTGACTGGTGGGATTGTAAATTGGTCTATTTCAAGTGTATTTGCATGTAACCTCTATTAAGAATTTGATAACCTCATTCTATATGGAGGTTGTCTTATATTTCACGCTACCTCGTTACTAGGAAAGAGATATTCGCATATCTCGTTTCCTAATATGATACGTCCTTTAGATCTCTTATCCTTAGGTGAGATATACTTGCTCATATTAATGAGATTCATATCTTTTCTTGATCCTAGGCCTTTAGGTCGTAATACCAACCTTCCGACCTCTTCAATGTACGCCCCACCAAGTCATACAATGCCATGGTGAGAGCCTTGGTGCCCGTCTTCATGTCACTATGTACCTTTCTTGGAGTGAGCTCCTTGATGAGGTCGGTTTTCTCTCTCTCAACTATGAGTGACTTGTCTCCTGATCTATCAAGCAGAACTTCTAGACAAAGCTAATCCATGATGTCGAGCTGCCACTTATTCTAAATTGATTAAACTGAGTAGACCCCTCTAACCTATCTATCAAGCTATTATGAACACTATATCAACCAAATGACCCCAAAATGCAACATAAGCATTTATTTTTGGCAAAGTTGCCCCTAATATCTAGACATTTGTTTTGAAATTACAATTTAATCACGACTTTGTCACTTTTACAAATTATATCAGAATATTCAGTTGTTGCAAATCAAGACACGTGTTCTAAAGACTAACCCTAGCAAAGTTGATGTGCCCGAAGAACAAATTGTGGATTGTGATACAATTTTCACAAGTCATGCAAATCAAATTGGTCACTAATTTTCAACAAACTGAAGATTGTGATATAATTTTTAAAAGTAAAAAATCTTAATTAAATTATAATTTGAAAAAAGTGGTGATATTAAGGACAATTTTGACTTTATTTTTTGTGGCTAGAGGTGGCCAGGGGCCGAACCGGCCTGTAACCGGCCATATAAGGGCCGGTCCGTTGGACCGAAGCGGTTCGGTCCAGGTTCTTTTTTTTTTTTTTTTTTTTTCGGTTCATTTATTTATTTTTTTTGCATCGGCAGTTCCGGTCCGGGTCGGGCCGGTTCGCGGGCCGACCGCCGGCAACGGTGTTGTAATTTTTTTTTATTTTTTTAATATTTAATTCGCCGGGTCGATGAATCGACGGGTCCGAGCTCAGAACCGGTCCCGGACCGCCCCTTTGTCATGTTTGGTACCGGGCCGGGCCCGAACCCGTTGACTGGCCACCTCTATTTGTGGCATCCTATATATTATAAGACACAATTTTCGTATATTCTATAAAGAAAAAGAGGAAAGATATTATTATTGCAATAAAGTGGTGCATACATCCCAACTGTCGTGCACGACCACAGTATCATTCCCCTCTCAAACAACGCCACGTGTGCCGAAAGTTTGACCAAACCTTTTTTTCCCACATTTTTGTATTTAATTTTTGAAACATGATATGCCAAACAAGCCCCTACACCCACGCTCTCGTTTGCAATCTGCCTGCAAGAAAGCGAATAAACAAAGTGTCAAAGCCTACGCATTAACCGTATGTGTCACGGATGTTTGGTATTGTGCATAAATTGAAATTGATACGTGTTATCTCCTTTCGATGGACCATTTTACATTTTTGTGCTTGCATGAAAAACTTTGTGTAAATTATTAAAGGGTAAAATATATTTTTTTTTCCATGTTTGTGCACTTATTGTATTTTTCGTAATAAAATTCAAATTGAATTTAATAAATATTTATAATTTGCAACTTTGTCTATATATTGACCACACGCGTGTCTATTTTTGCAGATGATCGTATAATCAAGATGCAACCGAGATTGTCAATAATGAATGTTCATGAAGTTTGTACTGCATTTTATCATAAAAAAATACTATAAGTTTTAAAGTTCATAAATACACAGAGTACTGTTTTCAACAAATGTTTCACCCTTATTATTATTTCACAGTTAGAAAGTGTAATTTTGAGGGAAAAAGCGAACGACAAATAAAAATTAGATTTGTGTGGAGGAATACTACTCATGTTTGTTATTCTCATCATGTCACATATATATGTATGGGTGAAGAATAATATTAATGTATTAGTTCTAGTCCATATGTTAGGCTCATTATTCATATTGAACCAAATTGATCTATAATAAGCTATAATGTTAGTCGTCGAATTACTTGATCAATTGATAATTAAATAATTAAACCTAGCATTGAGTTACCTGATCAATTGATAATTGAATACTTAAACCTAAATGGATAATGCGTGAAACAAGGCTAGATCGATTGGATCTTGACCAAATTATCTCGAATCTTGACAAGACACATTACAAATCAATCTAATTAATCGATTGAAATTCGTATCGAATTCAAGTCTATCTGCATTGTCAAGTCGAGATTCAATGGAAAAATTATTTTTTGACAATTAAAACCTTCACAATCAAACATGGAACCCTTTCAATTTACTTTTACTTTTTTTACCCTTGATATGAATGTAAAATACTTGTGTACAACTTTTTTTGGCCCCAAGAAATGATTACTCATTCTTTACTACTCGTTTGTGTTAGCTAACTCTGTGGTTGCCAACAATACTAGCATGCATCCATTATTAAACTTTGTTTTTACCAATTACTAAATGATACATATACAAATATACAATATATGTTCGTGTAAATTAGTTTAGTGATCAATAAAAAGAACATTATGAGATATTGAAGTCTAATTAAATTTCAATGTATTCAATTATAGTGTGTCTAAGGTTAAACAATTATGTAAATATTTTTATTATGAAATGTCATACCTTATATTTATATTATATATAATATGACGTTTGATGAGTATGAAAGTATATATTCATTGAAAGTATACGTTTGTCACCGCTAAACCGCTAAACTACAATATGAAAAATTATTACTATATCGTTAATAATTGAAACCTATTAACATAAAAAATTGTCCCTTAATATAGTTTAATTTGTAAGGCCGTCGTGCTACCAAGTAATCGTGTATTGTCAAATGATCTTTAAATATGTTCTAAATGCTCTGTCATTTTATCATTATATGGCTTACCACGTCATGTAATCCTAACTACAACAAAAAATATAAATAATAATAAATAATATTAACCACAAATTTTTTTTTTAATTAAATGTTGCATATGCTATCACAAAAGTCAGTGCTCAATTTCGAAATTGATATTTGCTTTAGACCTAGTATTTGGGTAGGCGTGGATGTGGGTGTGATAATAAGTCGAGAATATTGACCAAATAAGTGCATCAAAATTATTGCTAGTGAGAATTTTTATCATGATCCCAATTAATTCCAAGATGTTTTTTTTCAAGGCTAAGTTTAATTTCGTTCATGGCTCGTCAAGAAAAACAATTCTCATCCCAAATTAATAATTAATTTATTCTATTGGATGAAAAATGATGAATTATAAAACAATTTTATAACATCATATTTTATCTAGCTTCAATTTGTAATTAAACTAATACTATTTCTTTTTCTAGAAAGGGTCAAAGCTCAATTAATATCCTAGTTTAATGAGTAGGTTTTGGTTGATTAAATTGCGAGCCTAACAATTAAATTGGCACTTGGAGGGGCAACTTAATTAAGAAAGAAATTAAGCAATGTTCATTTGCAATTGGTCAAATAGAGAGAGATGGTGATTGGCGGGCGTCTCGTTCATATTGTCAACTTCAAGAAGATTCAATTTAATACTTTTCCCTATTACATCAATTCATTTGTCTCATTTTATTTCCTCAAGTCAACTTCACCAACAGCATTTTAATGGAAATAAAATTTCTAGCCTTTCATTTTCCTCATCTATTTATTACAATTATGTACTCAATATTCTCATTTACCAACTATATAAATGCTAGAGAGATGAAAAAAAGGGTACGAAAGTCGAATTTTCCGAAGCCTCTGCGCGTGAATTACATAGGCTGTCCGTTTTCTTATCTCTTTCATTTTTCCAACAATAATATTAACGAAAGTGACAAAGCTCTTATTTTCCTCGCCATCCTGTGCCTAACATGTTGACCTGAACGCTGGCTATCAACGAAACAAAATACTTTTCTAACTTATAATTTTTTAAAATAATATCTAAATCCAGAGTTTTCAATTTTTTTGCTTTTGCTTATTTTTTAGTGGAGGCATTGTGAACAGTGTTTGTTTCCACCAAATTAATTAGATAGATTTTTTTAAAAAAAAAATGCTTGTGTTGTGTATGTCTACCATGAAAACTTTGTGGAGAATAAAGATGACAAAATAGACATTATTGAAGAGAAAACTAATAATTATATTTAGATGATCAATAAATTTTAATTCGGGTTAAAAGTATAGATTTTCGTTTTTTGGGAGATAGTATAATAGTATTTCATACATATATTCAAAAACAAAAAAAAAAGTCTGCAAACCACTCATTTCAGGAGTCTGGAAATAAAAAATGATGAAGAAATGGTTGTTAGAGTATATTCAACTTGGGGAGGTAAATTAAATTTAAGAAACGAGAAATCACACGGGACAGCATTTTTTTTAGTACATTTATGAGGTGAGATCACATGCATTTCAATGATTAACCAAGTTATTGAACCATAATCCAAGTTATACAACTCATGTAGACCTATAAAATCCTAATAAGTTAAAAAAAGATATATGTTAGTTTCATCTGTCACCAGAGATAATATAATAGTAAGAGAGAATGTGAACACTTTTTTTTTTTCGTATTTTTTATCCATTGAATAATGAGTATACAGAATTAACACCACCAATAGCATGGCATCTATTCACTATAAATCATATTGCCAAACTGAAACTCTCTCATTTATATCAACATTTATACCAAAATATTATGTCAAAGTAGGATTTTTCATTTAAAAAATATAAAATTTAACCAAATACAAAATCTTACACTGCCCAACATTCAGAACACAACAGCAGGCTCTTGATTTTGCACAACAGTTACCGTTCTTCGGCTCCTTAAAATTCCGTTACACGAATCTATTAGATTCTTAAGTGCAGAATTTTCACTTACCGCCAAATGAAGATGCCCTTTATGCACGAGCTCGCGGAGGGTACTCTCATTAAGCCTGGTGGCATTTTCGGCCAAAAATTTCGACCAAGTTTTTCTTGAATACACTTGTGACTCGGTCGAAGCAAAGTTGGTGATAATGGAGAGGGCAGATGCTGAGTCACCCTTCTCGAGTTTCGAACAGAACATTTCCCTGATGAGGAGAGGAGGTGGGGCTCGTTCGGTTTGGACCAAGTGTTGCCACGTCATCTCAAGCAGCGCTTCCTAAGAAAGAATTTGATTGTTGATTTTAACTGGATATTAAAGCTATGTTTGGTAAACCTAGCTGATAAGCTAGCTGCTTATAGCTTTGAAGTGAATTTCGAGCTTATAGCTAATAACTTATGACTTATGGTTGAAAAAACTAGCTTATATGATAAAATAGCTGATAAGTTTGCTGAAATAAAAATTTCAATTGATTTATTTGGACAGCTACGTAAGGAAGCTTATGAGATAAGCTCGGGTTTTTTTTTAAAATAGCTCATCCTACCAAAACCAAACTTATTGTATTGAATACACGAAGCTTATAAGCTAATCAAATAAGCTAGCTTATATGCTTACCAATCACAATTTTTCAGCCATAATTCATAAGCTATAGGCTATAAGTTCGAAAATCACTTATAAGCTATCAGCTAGTTTTACTAAAACATAGCCTAAGTTTGTAGACCCCCGAACTTCTGAAAAAAAAAAAAATAAGATTAACCAGAACAATACCTTTCCAACATGGCGAGCATTCAACACCAACTGAAGATGGCGTTTTGCATTGAAATGATGTCCGAATTTCAGCATTTGCGTATACACAAACTCAACATCGTCCCACCTTTTCTCCTCACCACACGCATCTAACATCGTGTTGAACGTGTAGATATCAGGTATAACCCGAGCTTTATAATCTTCTTTGCGATTGATTAATTTACTGTTTTCCACTAACTTTAGGAACAACTGTTTGGCTTCTTCAAACATCTTGTGATCAAGAAAAGCCTTCAGCATTATATTGCATGTCACTACATTAGGTGAACAGAACTTCTGCATGTGATCAAAGATATATGCCCCGTTTTTTACTTCGCCGGCTTCCAAACACGCTTGGATTAAGCCGGTGTAAGTTACGACGAGGGGTTTGTTTGCAACTTTGCATATCTTGTCAATCTGCAAACCAAAAAATATATTTAAAAAAAAAAATCCGTGGCAGCAAAATATTTCAATTTCTCAGAAGGGCCTTCATGGAAAACTCGAAGAAAGCAAAATAATAATAATAATAAATGAATGTGAGCTAACCTGTCTTAATGCCTCGTGGCATCTTCCTGCACTACAAAGGCAGCGGGCAAGGTCATAATAGAGAGCGGCATTACCAACTATTCCTCTTCTCTCCATTTCTTCAACAGCCATTATTGCCTCATTTATTTTTCCTTCCCGCCAAAAGGTGTTCACGACAACTACAAACAACAAGAGTTAATATTAAGCACTAAAATATCTGCATTGCATTAGGATGAGGAAATGAATCAATTCAACCAACCTTTATATATCAATGCATTTGGTATGTATGATTTCTGTATCTTCTTGAAAAAGTCATGAACCAAGTCATACTTGCCACATGCTAACATCACCTGCTCGAGTACAAATAAAGTTAGGATAAGTATGATTTCAATGCATTTGGTATGTATGATTTCATTGACGATAGTTGAATTTACGTGAGGCCTTCATAGGACATTTTTGCAGCTACCTAAATGTCATATATGAGGAACCCCATTAAACCTCGACATGATTTTTTCTTTTTATTTTTTATTTTTTGTGAAATCTTAAACAAGAATGTCAAGTCAAATAGAGATAAACAAATATTGTGTTAATATAAGTACTTTTTTTACTATTACTGTTATGTTGGTACAGACTACAGACACGAACATGAAAGATTCGAATAAAAGAGTTAACTTGGAGATGCGAGAATTTTATCGACTAATATGCTATTGTAGTCAAAACACGAGACAGAAAAAAATCGAAGACCTCAACAAAACATCACTTAGAAGTGACAGTTGTACATTGCTGTGCATTTTACCTCCATAACTAGTCCGTATGTTGTGCTTGAAGGTTGTTTACCCTGTTCACTTAGCTGCTGCAAAACCCAGAAAGCACCTTCCCATTTTTCACGCCGAACACAAGCATTAAGAACCTGAACAAGTCAACACAGTTGATTTTTTCTGCCTGGATTAGTTGTATTTGACTTTAAAAAAAAGGGTACTTACAGCATTATAGACAACTGCATCCGGCTCCAATCGTGGGTCCCACTTCTCGATAAGGTTTGATTTAAATTTCTTTTTGGGAGGAGACCTCATGGTATCAATTACGTCAAACAGTTCCTTCATGTGACCAGCTTGTCCAAGAGTGACAGCAATACAACGATAGGCCACAATATCGGGGTACGAAGCCATTTGCTCCTATAGAGTAATATATGAGGTCGAGATAAAAGTG